GTTTGAGTTTTTTGTTCAAGAGAACTCTCCCTAGGGCTTCGGCCCGTCCCGCCGGCCACCCGGAAGGTCCGAAATTCTCGGAAACATTTTCCCAAGATGGCCCACGATGGCCCCCAAGATGCCTCCAAGATGGCCTAGATGGCCTCCAAGACGGTTACGAGGGCTCCAAGATGCATCCAAGACGGCCTAAGGTAGCCTCAAGATGACCCCAAATGACCCAACAGGCTCCCAAGAGGCCTCCAAGACGGCCCAAGAGGCCTCCAAGAGGTCCTCTGGGAAGGCCCGAAGCGGCCAAAATCATTGACTTGCCTTAGGTTTTTGAAAGGATTTGGGCACGTGCTTCTTTTCGGTCCTCCGACGGCCCGAGACGGCCCAAGAGCCCCCAAAGGTCGCCTCAAGATCGCCTTTAAGGCCTCCTACAAGGCACCAGAACGGCCGAAGAGGCCCCCAAGACTGCCCGTAAGACTGCCCCAAGAGGGCCCCAAGATGGCCCACGAGATATCCAAAAACGCCCAAGGTGGCCTCCAAGACTGCCCTGGAGCACCCCAAAAGGGCCCCAAGTCGTCCCAGAGAGGCCCTCAAGACGGCTTCCGAGGGCGTCAGACGGGCCAGGAGGCCATCAAGACGGCCCAAGATGGCTCCAAGATGGCCCAAGAGGCCCCCAAGAGGCCTCCAAGACGGCCCAAGAGGCCTCCAAGGTGTTCTCCAGGAAGGCCAGAAGAGGCCAGAATCATCGATTTACCAAGGGGTGTTTGAAGGATTTCGACATTTGCTTCTGTTCGGCCTTCCGACGGCCCGAGACGGCCCACGAGCCCCCGAAGGTCGCCCCAAGATCGCCCAAAGGGCCTCCAAGAGGGCCCCATAACAGCCCAAGAGCCCCCCAAGACGCTCCCAAGAGGGCCCCAAGACGGCCCAAGAGGCCTCGAAAACGCCCAAGGTGGCCTCCAAGGCGGCCCTAGAGCACCTCAAGAGGGCCCCAAGTCAGCCCAGAGAAGCCCTCAAGACGGCTTCCGAGGGCGTCAGACGGGCCAAGAGGCCATCAAGACGGCCCAAGATGGCTCAAAGATGGCCCAAGACGGCCGAAGAGCCCCCAAGAGGTCTCCAAGACGGCCCAAAAGGCCCCCAGGAGGGCCTCCAGAAAGGCCCGAAGAGGCTAACAATTGCCTTAGGTTTTTTGTAGGATTTGGGCATGTGCGTCTTTTCGACCTTCCGACAGCCCAAGACCGCCCAAGATTCCCCAAAGAGCGCCCAAGATCGCCCACGAGGCATTCCAAGATGACCCCAGAACGGCCCAAGAGGTCCCGAAGACAGCCCCAGAACGGCCCCAGAGGCCTCGAAAACACCCAAGATGGCCTCCAAGATGGCCCTGGAGCACCCAAGAGGGCCCTAAGTCGGCCCGGAGAGGCCCCCACGGACCAGGAATGCCCTAAGACGTCCAAAGAGGCTCCCGAGAAGCCCCCAAAGACCCCAAGAGGCCCAAGGAGGCCCCCGAGATACCTCCAAAAGGCTCCCTGGAAGCTCCAAGGAGGCCCCAAGATTGCCCCCCCGGAGGCTCCAAGGATGCCCCATCCTCCTCCTCCTCCTCCTCCCTCCTCCTCCTCCTCCTCCTCCTCCTCCTCCTCCTCCTCCTCCTCCTCCTCCTCCTCCTCCACCTCCACCTCCTCCTCCTCCTCCTCCTCCTCCTCCTCCTCCTCCTCCTCCTCCTCCTCCTCCTCCTCCTCCTCCTCGTCCTCATCCTCCTCCTCCTGATCGTCCCCGCCATCCTCCCCCAAGTGTTCCCCGAAGGTCTTCTACAAGGGCTGGGGGAGCACATGGCCCGATAGCTTGGCAGAGCTCTTGCCACATCACTCGGCCACGTTGGCGATTCCAAAAGGCAGGGGGCGGAGGTAATTCGACGTAGTCGTCTTCGATACCGATACCACTGCTCCCAAGACCTCTCCTAGGGTGCGTTCTGACCAGAATTCGAGTCGATTTCAGTAATGGCGACGAGGGCCTCCCAGGAGACCCAACAGAGGTGAAAACGAGGCAAGGGTATAGTAGCAGTATCGGTACCGCGGGTTCGTGTCGGGCCGACCCCAGCGTTGGTTCCTGACACCGCGGGGATCGTTCACAGTGGAACGATCAGCCACTTCCCAAACGTCAGATCGCTCAACGTCGACCGATTCTGGGTCGCCGGCGGCGTCGCGCCCAACGTTGAGCGCTGCCGGCGGGGTCGGCGCCAGCCGACACGACGCGAAACTACCGTACTGTTAAGTCGGGCCTGTCCCCCTACAGGGGGATTTTCGACGAAAAGTTAAAAATACCCCAAAAATGCCCCAAGAAGGTCAAACAATACTCCAAACATAGTCCCCAGACTATTTTGGGATTACTTTTTGACTATGTTTGGGCTATTTCTGATCTTTCGTCGAAAATCCCCCCTGTAGGGGGGCAGGCCCGACGTGACCGCACTGGGCCACGACTGGGCTCTGGGCTCGCCGGCGGCCGCTCGGGGCGACTCGGGCACCCCCGGGCACGCTCTCGGCGAGGCACGGCCGCCAGAGAGCACCCTCCTCCTCCTCCTCCTCCTCCTCCTCCTCCTCTTCCTCCTCCCTCTTCCTCCTCCTCCTCGACCTTCCTCACCTCCTCCTCCTCCTCCTCCTCCTCCTCCTCATCCTCCTCCTCCAAGACTCGACGAAAAAACCTTCGAGGACCTCGAACCTCGAGTCTCGATCGAGCCTCGGGGAGCGGCATCGGTGCTCCAGATCTCGTGATAAGAGGGAGGGGGCCACAATCCTCCCAGACCACAAGTTTTGGACACCCCCGGACCATCCATGAAAGGGCGGCACTTTGCCCAGACCCCCCCTAACCCTTCAAGACAGATCAAATCAGACCCCCCCGCCAAATGTACCCCCCCTACTGTATTATGGAATCCGGAGTGCATCTTCCTACTCTGATTTTTCGCCGCCGGTCGACACGACACGAACCTACCGCGAACGAGGTGGGGTCGCTGCCGGCCGAAACGACGCGGCATCAAAGTGAAGCAGACCGTGATCCACATCGAGCCGCATCGCCGATGCATCGGCGATGCGGAGCGAACGTTCAACCCAGTCTACTCGGACTCAATTTGAGAGGCCTACAGTATGGGTACCTCTTCCTCTTCTGATGAGGGGCGAGTGGGGGGACAGGCATAGCAGGGGGGCACATCGACCTGGAAACAGCGATACATCGCCGATAGATCGGCGATAGGCCCCCGATAATGGATCCGCACGTTCCTGGGCAGGTTGGGGCTATCGGGCCCCTGCCGGCGATCAATGGGAGATGGGGCGTCGATGCATCCCCTAGGCCCTAGGCCTATCCCCCCTATCGTTGCCCCTGATCTGATCTGCTCCTCCCCTCCCTCCCCGCCTCCTCTCTCCTTCCCCTCTCGCTCCTCGCTTCGGCCCGCATTGCCTCACCTCGAGGCTGCGGATGTGGCCGAATGAGAATATCGATCACGTGGCGTGTGGGCACACGGCGTCTTCCAGGGCCCGAGCTAAACAGTGTTGCTCGTTATCGCCGTGTGTTTGTTGTCCTTCCTTCCGTCTTCGTTCTGCCCTTGCTGCGAAACGAGATCAGAACGAAAAAACGACCCACGAAATCGCCAAAACACCGTCTAGCTCGAGCCCTGGCGCCTCCTTCTAAAGTATTGGCACCTCTTCCCCCTCTGTTTGCGGCCCGCAGAGGGGGGCAGGGGGGGGGGGAGGGCTTATTGGAAGGAGGCTGCTCCTGAAGAGGTGCGGGCCTTACGTCTACAGACAGGGCCCGCGCCTTCCAAGAAGCGGGGTGCTTCTAAGAAGCCTCCCCCCCTCCCCCTACTCCCCTCTGCTGGAGGCTTGGGAACGGGCACCAGCACCGACACAGTGGGTTCGCCTCCGCAGGGGGAAGATGATCACAGATTTCGGTGCTGGTGGTAACATCTCGGCCACCTGGGAAGCCCGGATCTTACCACCGTCACCGAGATCGAGATCGTCTGCCATCGGTGGAGGCACGCCGCCGATATCGGCGCTTGTGCCAACCTCTAGGCCTCCGACTCTGCGCGTGGCCAAGTCTCCAGACATGCGACGTCCTGACGTTTGTCAACGCGGGGTCCCTGGAAGTCCCGACCCTCTCCCTGGGGCCCGTTTCTCGCCCCGAGCCGTGTTCTGACGGCCACGAGGCCCAGCGAGGGCCCCACCCAGGGCCGAAGAGAGTCACAGAGGCCTCCCGCCCTGACTTTTTCTCTTCGCGACGCGATGCTGTCGGGGGAGCGCTCATCCTTCGCCCGCGAGTCGGGTCGGGCGAAAGGGGGGGATAGCAAAGGGGGGGTTTGAGAATCAGCTCACGTAGCTGATTTTCCCGGCGCCTCCCGGCGCCGGAGGCGGCTATGCATCGAGGAATGGGCCCCTCGGTGGGGCCAAAACCAGCCGCATGCAGCAGATTTCGTAACTCCCCCTTTCCCCAATCCCCCCTTTTCGTCCGGCCCGAGCAGGAGGAGGAGGAAGAGGAGGAGGAGGAGGAGGAGGAGGAGGAGGAGGAGGGAGGAGGAGGTGGAGGAGGAGCAGGAGGGGAGGAGGGGGAGGAGGAGGGGGAGGAGGAGGAGAGGAGAGGAGGAGGAGGAGAGAGGAGGAGGAGGAGGAGGAGGAGGAGGAGGGAGGAGGAGGAGGAGGAGGAGCAGGAGGGGAGAGGAGGGGGAGGAGGAGGAGGAGGAGGAGGAGGAGGAGGAGGAGGAGGAGGAGAAGGAGGAGGAGGAGGAGGGGGAGGAGGAGGAGGAGGAGGATGAGGAGGAGGAGGAGGAGCAGGAGGAGGAGGGAGGAGGAACGAGAGTCCTTCGCCCGCGAGGCCTGTCGTCCCACCTCAGCTTCGAGTGCTCCTCCACGGCCGCGCGGAGCTCCTCGAGGCCCGCGACGCGCACCTCGCGCCGGAGGTCCGCTGGGAGCAGCCCGGGGCCCTCGGCGCCCCCCTGCAGCGGGGCGCGGCGCTCGCCGAAGAGCTGGCTCTCGGCGTCACCTCGGCGAGCAAGCACTGCAGTCAAAAACCCTACTCCAGATTTCGTAATAAAAGGGAGGGGGTCTGGACCCTCCAAGACAAGCCATTTCAGACCCCCCCCCCGTGGGAGAACCCTCCAAAACATCGTCCCCAGACCCCCCCAGGCCCTCCAAGATAGCCTGGAAGAGACCCCCCCCGAAATGAGACCCCTCTCGCTTTATTTCTAAATCTGGAGTAATGAGGACGCGCGGCAAGGACGCAAGACCCTTGGCAGCCGAAGTTGGGATTTTTGGGGCAAGCGAGAGAGGCCGATGACGAGCCGCAAGAGCAAGGAAGAGCGAGGACGCAAGGGTACCCTGAGCAAAGTCGCGCGTCCTTATTAGGGTTGTTGACTGTAGGTCGAGCATGTCCTCCTATACAGGGGGATCTGGGATTTGGGAGGAAAAAAACAAAACCAAAAAAAACGTGTGTAAAAAAAACAACTCGACAATGGTTCCAAAAAACGAATGGAAAAATAGCCCCCGGACTGTTTGAACATTTCTCCTGTAGAGGGACACGCCCGACTTAACGAGGGCAAAAAAAGAGGGCCAAAAGACAGCCCCAGGGGCCCCCCAAGACGGCCCAAGACAGCCCCTGGAGGGCCCCAAGAGCGCCCCAAGGAGGCCCAAAAGGGGGAATACTGTCTACGAGCTGACACGTCGAGGCTTTCCCATCAAGATGGCTCCTCGAGCTTCTCAGGCCCCCAAGGCCCCTGCAAGAGGCCCCAAGAGGCCTCCAAGACGCCCCCAAGAAGCCCGCCAGAGGCCCCAACGAGGCACCCAAAAAGCCGTGCCAGATGCCACCAAAAGCCCTCCAAGAGGCTCCCGAGAAGCACCCCAAGAGCCCCTCATATGCATCCAAGAGCCTCCTGACCCAAAATATAACTTCCACGATCGTCTCCAACACTCGCTCCTCGTGGGGGTCAGCGGAATCACGTAAGCCACGTGAAGAAGCTTTCGGAGGTCCGCGCGGATGTCTTGGATCTGCGCTGGACCTGAGACGAGGCAAGGACGGGGATAAATTCGGGCGAGGATGATGAATCGAGATTCTCTAAGATCCCGCGGCTCTGAGAGCGCTGTGAGATCCCGCGGAATAACGCTCTGAAAGAGTTCGGGAACGCTCTGGAGCGGATCATCTTTGTCCCAGCCCCACCCGAACCCCCTCCCTGGCGCGCGGAGCGCGCCAGAGGCGGCGCCCGAGGCGCCGCCAGGGGGCTCCAGCACCGACCCGAGAAATCCGCACGAACCTCCACAATTTGATGTTTATGTCATTGTTCGTGCCCCGATCACCGCTGCCATCCCTGCCAGGCGTGAGCTGGATCGACTCGCGAAGTCGGGTCGGATCGGCAACGGGTCGGATCGCCAACGAGCCGCTCCGAAGCGGATCGAGATCTCGCATCGCCGCGCCTGGCTCCGGCGGTCCCTGGCCGATGCCGGCGAACCGAGCCGAACCGGACTGAACCGACCGGACTGAACCGGGAGGGCGGCCCGGGAGGCCCCAAAACGGCCCGAAGGGAGCCCGAGATGGGGCATATGAGCTGACAGATTGAGCCCCCCGCCCCAGGATGGCGCCAGGATCCCCCAAAGCCCCTGGGTTGCGCCCAGGAGGCCCCGAGAGGCCCCCCCGGAGGCCCCGAGAGCCCGGGCCGGCGAATGGAATCCCGTCGAGTCGGATCGCAGGCGGCCCTGCCTGCCGCAGCGGTCGGCCAGCCACTGGGAGAACCACGCGGTGCGCTCCGGGCTGCCACGCGCCAGGCTATCGCTGGGGCCGCCCCCGAAGTCACCGAGCTCCGCCTGGAGCGTGGCGAGGCTCTCGCCCTCCTCTGCGTCCTCGGCGGCTGCGCCGCCCGCCTCCTGCTCCTCCTCCTCCTCCTCCTCCTCCTCCTCCTCCTCCTCCTCCTCCTCCTCCTCCTCTTTCTCCCCCTCCTCCTCCCTGACACCCCTCTCCATCGCTCCCTCGCCTCTCCTCCCCTTCCTCCTCCTCCCTCTCCTCCTCTTTCTCCCCCTCCTCCCCACCCTCCTCCTCCTCTCCTCCCCCTACCCCCTCTTCTTCATTCTCCTCCTCCTCCTCCTCATCCTCCTCATCCTCCTCCTCCTCCTCCTCCTCCTCCTCCAACCACTGAGGTCGACCCGCAACGTTGCAATGGATCTCGCCCCCTGCGTCCTCGGCGACCGTGCCGCCCGCCTCTAAGAGCTTCACTCTCTCCTTCCGGGGAGACGTAAGATTCGGGTTCGGGGGATTCGGATTTAGCCTGGCGTGCGAGAACCGCTCCCATGCACCGTACCATGTCTGGACTCCCTTCAGACCCCGCTCCATTTGCCATATGGTGCATAGTTCTTTGGCTCTGAGGGGCGGAAGAATATGCACCGTACCATTCCTCGGTCGAAGATTGACGGCGCCTCGGGAGACGCAAACGCGGTACGGTACATGCAGGTCGTCTGCGGATGCCGTCAGGAAAATGACGAGACCAAATCTGAAATCTGACGTGGGCTTCCGCTGCAAGCAATGCGAAGCAAAAAGTAGATCATATGAGTTCAGCGATTCTTCAGGAGGGAAAATACGGATTGGAAATGGTATTGGGACAACAGGTTACATTTACATATATTCACAGTCAAAATTATCTCGCGGCCAGGCGGCGACGTAACCAAATCCGTCCGCGAAGCTGTTTATCTAGGAGGACTGAGTGCGTGCGACGGGAAAGTGGCCACTGAATTGACGCGGAGACTAGAATAATCTACGAGAATATTTAAGCAAGTAGGTAAGCTTTGGAACCATGCCTCGATAAGAACGCGGCGAAAACACACCATCTACATAAGTTGTGCGGTGAACAATTTGCTGTACTTGTTGGACCCAATGTGGTTATCCTAAGCAGACGGGGCACGTCTTGATGTTTTTCACTGCAAGTGACTACGGCGCATTCTCGGCGTACCTCTTTCATTCGCTTCGAGACCTAACACAAACATTCCAAAGAGAGCCGGCGCAGAACCTCTTTCGGAAGCTCTTCTAGACAAACAAGAGAAGACATATTCCAAGATTTCCGCAAGTGGACATCGTTCCTTGGTACGACAAGTTGTATGCGAACAAGATGGGTCACCAAATTGCTGGGCGCTCGGTCGACGACGTGGCGGACCTAGATATCATTGGGCTCCTTAAGTGTAAGGTCTTAGGCAGTCCCGCCGTTCCCGTCCTCACCCTTTCTCTTAGTTCTTGGTTGCAGCATTCTTTGCAGATTTTAAAATATGTTTTTCTCTTCGGTTGCCAACGTTGCAACCTGCGTTCGCCAACGCGTCCTACCAGGTGCACGGCCGAGCGAGCGAGTGAGGCTCCCGCTGCAGACACCCCGCAGAGACTGGAGCGACAAAATCCAGGACGGGCCCGCCAAAGAGCGTCGGCAAACCCGAGTTCTGCCAAACTCGAGACCAACACGCTTCCCCGATCCTTGACCAGGTCGTACCGCATCTCCAAGGCCTCCGGCAGGATTCGGCAGGAACGGGAAGAGGACAGGGAGGAGGGGGAGAATGGGGAGGATGTGGAAGAGGAGGTGGAGGACGGGGAAGGGAAGGTCGACGACGACGATGGAGGAAGGCCGAGGAGGATGACGACGACCAGGAGAAGGACAGGACGAACTGGGCAAGCGGAGTAGAAGGAGAAGGGCAGGAGGAGTACGAGCAGGAGGACGAGGACGACGAGTGGGGGAGAGGGAGCAGGAGGAGGAGGGCGAGGAATAGGCAAAAGGATGAAGGGAAAGAGTACGCGGAGGAGCGGGGCGGGGAACCACCTGGACCTCGAACCCCTGTGGGCGAGTACAGCCCATGTTCCTGGCATGTGTTCTCCTCGCTCCACTTCTCCCCCGATTTCTCTTTCACGCTTCACGCTAATGCGGGATGACGATTAGTAAAAAAATGGGAGAGAACGATTAAAAAAATAGTTTTCTGCTATTTCAGCATAATTTTCTGACTGGAGGAGAACGATAAAAAATAGTTTTCCAGCCCGCGGCCGGTTTATTCCAATCGTCGTCCCGGGCGCCGCCGCGTGAACCCGACCCCCGGTCATTTATTAATCGTCATCCTCCGTTACCTCGAACACAGGGGCACCCCTCCAGTTCTCAACCCACGAACGTGGCATGAGTGGCGACGCAGGGACGGCAGCCGCGTCCCGGTTTAGCATTATAGAGGTGATGTGATGGCCATCACGCGCGGCAAGAATACCACAGTTTGAACACCACACCCACCCTTCACAAAAACTCGCAATACGTCAAACCCACCTTCGCCAGGAACTTTGAGTCGCCAACTCCGATACTCAGGCAAGCATCCCGCTCTCCCTGCTGAACATGTTCAGCAAAACTCAACTGGCGCAATGACTGGAATACCCTGGTCATGCAGATCCATGACTCGGGCGGACAGGTGATGATGCTGGCGACATCCGGTGAGGACGATGACGAGACGACGGTAATTGTGGCGTCTACGATGACGAAGGCGACGACAACGACGATGACGATGACTTTGATGATGACGACGGTGGTGCTGATGATGCCGACGACGGTGATGGTGACGTTGATCGTGAGTTTGTTTTATCGCATCCAGCCTGGAGTGGGCCAAACTGGGCTTCACGGCAGAGGCAAGCGGGCACGGCGAGGAAGGAGGACGAAAGCGCGCGCTACGACAACGAGGGTCCTCTGATGACCCTCAGGCCACGCAGTCCATGGACTGGCGTCGAAATCAGCACGTAGGACACCCACAGAGCTATTTCAGCCTGACAGGGTTATTTCAGCCTGGCTACCAAGAGGCATGGCTCGTGCTCTGCAGGAGAAGGGCGAAAAAGGGATCCATCTCCCTGCTGCCCGGCCGACGTGCTAACTTCACGGGCTCTGCGGAGGGGAGACGGCGGCAACCATGTATAGATTTGCACAGCCAGCCGGGAACACCACGCACTTGAAACCCACCGATTGCTACAAACGTCGGCATGCTCAGTGAACGGCAGCTGGAGGTGATGACATTCTGCCCGAGAACCGCCGAGGGGCGCCGCCCGCGCCGAAAGCCCCCAGACGTGAAGAGACGCTCGCCGCCAGAATCCACCAGCGAGTGAAGGACGGGCATCACGGAGAAACGCCACGTCACTCTGTGCTGGAGGCGGCCCGGGTTCAGAACTGGGTGGGGTCCCCCCAAAGCCGGTCAGGAAGGGGGGATAATGCCGGATCCACTCAAGACCGGTCCCCAGACACCTTCCGGGCGGGGTCCACCTGGTGTGCAATGTTTCGCCCCAGATCCGTTTTTCGCGGTCCTGGGGCCCGAAAGCGGGCCCACGGCTAGATTGGGCACGTCCCCCCACGGGCAGATTTTGAAGACAAATACAAAAATAGTCCAATAATCTTCAAACACTGCCAAAATAAATAGTCTAAAAAATGTCCCCAGACTATTTGTTATTAACTATTTTTGAATATTCCTCCTGTAGTGGGACATGCCCGACTTAAGCCCACGGGGCAGAACACGGCAAGGAACCTTCTTGCGCCCAGACCCTCAAACCTGCCCGCCCTCCCTGCTGGCCAGAACCAGCGACGGGCCACCTCAGACCCACAGCCGGCTCCAATTACGGACAGACGTCTCGCCGCGCGCACAGGTGGGGTAGGGGTAGGGGGGAAGGCTCCGTAGAAGGAGGCTGCCTCTTAGAAGGCGCCAGCCCTATACCTACGGTTAAGTCGGGCCTGTCCCCCTACAGGGGGATTTTCGACGAAAAATAAAAATACCCCAAAACAAATCACAAAATAATCCAAAAATTGTCTGGGGCAGTGTTGGGGTATTTTTTATTTTTCGTCGAAGATCTCCCTGTAGGGGGACACGCCCGACATAAACCTACGGACAACGCCCGCACCTCGAGCCTGCTCAGGCCGCCCAGGCCCTCTGGGGTGACCCCGGGGGCCTGGCGGAGGCCCAGACTTGCAAAAGGCGCATCCCTGGTGGGCCCGAGCCCGCTGCCCCCGCCGCGCTGGCCCACAGGCCCGCCGAGACGGCGGCGCTCGCAGCGGGGCGGTCACAGCCCCGAGGGGCCTTCCTGCACCTTGTCGAGCCATTTGGCAGTCCTGCCCCCCTCTGACTGCCTACCAGGCCACCTCAACCCGACCCGAAGACCGAATATCGGGTTGGGGGGGGAGGGAAGGGTTCAATACCTATACGACCGCCCTGCGGGCGATACGGAGGTTGGGGGGGACTGAGATCAAATGCCCACCCTGACTGACCTCCAGCCTGTCACCTTGATCTCATCTCTCTCTTTCTCTCTGTCGCTCTCTCTCTCTCTCTCTCTCTCTCTATCTATCTATCTATCTCTGTCTCTCTCTCTCTCTCTCACTCTCGCCCTCTCTCTCTCTCTCTCTCCCTCTCTGTCAGAGTCTCACTCCGCCACTATGATGATCGCGATGACGATGAGATCCCACTATCTACCTATCCGTCGACCGACCTATCGGTGAATCTCACTGTCGATCTCACTGTCGACATCAAAAGCAAAATGAGAAAGCCCGCCGCAGGCGCCGAAAAACGATTGATAGGTCGGATAAGATAATTATGATTGATTGGATTGGACAAGATCGATTAGATCAGATAAGCTGGATTGGATAAGAAAGCCCGCCGCAGGCACCGAAAATAATGAATTATGAAATTAGCGACATGCGTTAGCGCCAGGACGCCCGGGACACCCGGGACACCCGGGACACCGCCCGGCCCAACTAGGACACCTCCCGGCCACCGGCGGACGGGAAACGGACTTTCGCTCCTACTGACACCCGGGACACCCAGGACACCGCCCAGCCAAACTGGGACACCTCCCAGCCACCGGCGGACGGGAACGGACTTTCGCTCCTACTTCGGCTTAGCTGCAGGAGGATCACGCGCAGCTTCGCCTCGCCCGCACGCACGACACGCACGCAAAACCGAAACCGCTTTCCCGGGCGGGGGTCTCCGTTCCACTGCGATCTCACCCCCCAACCTCCGATGTTAAAGGGGCCCCAGGGCACACAAATAAATACACACAAATAAAAATATTCCCCATATTTTCCCATATTTTCTGGGTTTCTGTCTTCCCCCCCACTTCCCATATTTTCCCATATTTTCCTGGGAGTCGACGATAAATTGTGTCTGTGTGTGTTTTTTCCCCTACTGATGTGTGTTCCCCACTGCTCCCCGACACCACCCCCCACTGGACATGGAGGGCAGGTTGAGGCCCTCGGGTTGGGCCGGGCTGGTTCGCTGGGCGGTGGCCCTCCGCGCTCCCCGGCGCCCTCGGGCTCGGCGGCTCCGCCGCTGCGGCCGAGCCGGAAAGGGTGCGAGGGGAGGATTATACTCTGTTCTCTCCCCAGTGAAGCCCCTGCCGGCCGAGATGTTCATCGTGTCGCTGAACTTGAGGGATGAAAAAGCGACCCTGCCCTGGGTTACAAGTGCGTGGTCTGTAAACCTCCTGGGAACCCCCAAAGCCTAGAGGACGCCAGGACGCCGCACATCACGCAGGGTTCACCCTGTCAGCCCACAGGAGTTTCAGCGCGCAGCGCCTCGTAAACCAGGGTAGGGGCGTTTTGAATGCCCTTGATGAACTGCTTATGCTGGGCACGATGGCCGCGAGATGCAAGCAGGCCCAAGGAAGCAAGCCCCCCCAGGCCGCTGGCTCCCAGCGTGACTCACGATTACGAGGAATAGGAGGAGGAGGAGGAGGAAGAGGAGGGGGAGATTGATGATGATGATGATGATGATGAGGAGGAGGAGGAGGAGGATGGTGATGATGATGATGCTGATGATGGTGATGGTGATGGTGAGGATGATGGTGATGGTGATGGTGATGGTGATGGTGATGGTGATGGTGATGGTGATGGTGATGGTGATGGTGATGGTGATGGTGATGGTGATGGTGATGGTGATGGTGAGGAGGAGGAGGAAAAGGAGGAGGAGGAGGAAGAAGAGGAGAGGAAGCCCATTAGGAATAGGCGGAGGAGGAGGAGGAGAAGGATGAGGAAGAGGAGGAGGTGGAGGAGGGAGAGGAGGAAAAGGAGGAGAAGGAGGAGGAATGTGAGGAGGAGGAAGAGGAGGAGGAGGAGGAGGAGGAGGAAGCGGAGAAGAAGTTCGGGCGCCCAGGGGGCCGCGAGTCCTCCGAGCGCGCCACACCGCAGGCACCGACTGGCGCCAGACGCGAGCGCGGGCAGCAGCGCAAGCCGAAACGATGCCTTCGGCTGTCGGCGCGGGCTGCAGCTTCATGCTGTTCTGCGCGTGGACGGCCAGCACTCTGCGCCGACGCGTGCGATGCAGCGACGCGGCGCTGCCGCGGTCACTGGCACAATCAGGCGGCGGCGGGGCCCGAGCTCCTGAACGCGAGCGCCGCGCGGAGGAGGAGAGGGTCGGGGGGGCCAGAGAAGGCTCAGAGGGTACGCGGGCAGGAGAGGCAGCGGGGAAGGGCGTCCGCGGCATGTGGGCACCCGAAGGCACACGCCCGAG